CGGTTTGGCCAGAGGATGAAACTATCGTCAAAGATTCTCTTAATTATTTCTGTTTCGAATGGCATGCAATTCATTCCTTAAAACGGAGGATCACTTTTTAATGTTGGCGAGCATCATAAAAGAGGGTTATCCTGGAAAACAGTCGTGGTTATGGCTGCAAGTGTCAACAGCATATGGAGTGTATCTTCCGTCTTTTTGTAATTTTTGACTTAAAATCTGTAAAACTAATGATACTTGCTTGTTCTCGAGTTACTGGTTGATGGAAATCATTTAGCAGGGTCAAAGCGTCTATGCTCACCATTCTTATTCAGCGTGTATCTTGTTTTCGAAATTTGTTTCATTATATGATCAGATTGCTTCTGTTTGTTAACAAGAATTTTTTTTATTGATATTTTTAATTTTAAAGTACAAAAACTCAAGTTAAGAAAGTAAAAATTTGTTCACTTGTTACAATGAAATGGTTAAAGCCCAAGGTCGAATACAAATTCAATGACAAAAAAATAGGCACGGTGTCCAATTAAGGGAACTGTTCATCTGTTTCCTTTTAACAAAAACAATGCTCGAGTGATCCATTCGGTGTCCTAAAATGAATCATCAATATCTTGAAGTGGATCGAATTGTGAATAACATCGATGGCGAGTGCTCACTGTTCGTCGTTTCTAAAATAAACAAACAAGCACTTCTGTAGTAGTAAGTTCACAAAAAGGGATGAGTACTAACCGGAGTCGACGTGATGATCGGTACGTTTTCATCATTAACAGGTGGAGCTGCTTTTCTTGTTGTTCTTCTTGGTTTCGGACATGGTTTTGATGTAACAGTTGAAGTTGTCAGTTGTGAACTGTCTATTGGCGTCAAAGGCAGTTTCTAGAATATCCAGAGACATTAACGCCAAAGAAAACATGTTTTTCTTCCACACTTACAAAAATTGAGTCCTGAGGGTCAGGATGCGCACGTTTTACCATAGTTAACGACGCATGTATTGATTTTGACGAGTACTTATCTACACTAAATTGTCTTTGTCTCTAAAACGAAATAAGAAACAGCGGAGTTATTTTAATGATACAAAACAGAATCTTCTTTTTTAAACCTCGCCATTTACATTGTCCGACATATATTTTGATTGTTTACAATAATCCTCTTCATCTTCATCTTCGGTGATACTCTTGCAATAACTATGATCCAAATGCTGTCCAACAAAACTGTTCTTTTTTGGACACGAATCATTTGTTTTCAATTCTATTAATGGTTCCCGATCGAAGCAAATTTGTTCATAAATATCGTCCTTTTCGAAGTCTGATTCATCATCCTAAAGAAATAGATCACGAAGATATGAAATCTTTTTGTTCCAGTCTTAACAAAAATACTAATAAAAATGTTTTTACTTCAACGCATTGGATATTGTCGAGAAATGCTTCTTCTTCTTCTTCGACTTGAATAGATGCATCATAATCATCCCGTGTGCTATTGAAATCATCATCTTCGCTTTCTTCGTCGATTAAGTTGACAGAATGTAATAACTGCGTCGTCTGAATCAAAAGGAAATAATAGAACATATTTTCTGTTGAAGTAGGCGTACTTACATAGTTACTGTCTCGATTTTGACATTGTTCTGATAAACATTGACAATAAATTGTACACTTGAAGCCATTTCTTCCACATTTACATCGCTGACAATCCGTTCTGCACTTACCACAGGTGAGTAATCCAAGCTCAGTTGGCATTATTGGCAATAGAGTCCATTGTATTTTCATACGGTCATTTATGATTGTGTACCCATTACTGTTCATCGGCGGTATCACCATGTACTGTTCAAATGTTTGTTGCCATATGTCAATTTGTCTTGATGCGCGTAGACAGTGTTGATAGAATGCATTGGTTGTTGGCGGAAGGTTTAAGACGATATTTATACGATGTTGTTTGAAAGCAGTAATCGCCATTGACATTCGCAATTCGTCAAGCGATGAACAAATATCAAATCTCTGCAATGATTGCGAGGATGCGAACGCAACAGAAAGAACGAACATTAGAATAACATGCGATAAGTAATTGCTCTGCAGCCGCTGTTGCTGCTAACGGTGACGAACTGAAATTGTTGATATCGGAATAGCGATGATGATTCGTGAAAAATGTTCTAAAAAATTTAACTTTTGTAATGTTCTTAACGAATGATGTTGTATCACAGCCCGATAAAGCATGGAGGGACAACAACACGGATGGATTAATATTAAATTTCTGTTTTAATTCTTTAGCAATACGAGTTGAATAAATATACGTGTCTGTTTTCGTCGTAGTGTTGAACGATTTGACTACTAAGGATTCAAGACCAGTAACAGATCCATATCCAATCGATAAAAGAACTACATCTGTATCACTTGCTTGTATAACTACATTTTTATATTCATCAATTGCTAGCACTTTGGCGTGTAACAGCATTCGGGTATCGGCTTCGATATGATTTGATTCTAATAAATAATCTCGAACTGGTTGTGAATTTTTCTTCAAGATAAATGCCGTTTCGGTTGGTCCTGCCGCTACCAGAATTTTGTTTTCTGGCAGCAATTCTACCAACGCAGGTTCACACCAACACTCACGGACACGATCAGCCAAGATTGCACGATTGTTATGCACGAAATGGTGGTATGATGTTTCTAATCTATCGTCGATCTGGAGATCATAATTATTTGCTTCGATGTCGTTGCCATGCCTCTTGATGTATGCTTTCACGTTCTTGCTCTCACTTGAGTCAAATACAATATCAATTCGTTCATAATGTTGAAAATAGCGGTTGATAATAGTTTTCAATAATTGTACGGCATAATCACGAACGGTGCAATTGCGTAATGTCGGTTTACTTTCCAGTAAACTACCACCATCAATTACCAGTGCACATTTATAGGCTAAAAATTCAAATATAGAACAAATCAGTGATATCGGACTAGTCGATGTACAGCGTGAATGAAAAAAAGCCGGTAGTAACGGTCCCTAAGCCATATTTATTCATATAGTAGACGAACCACATACTTGTTATTGGACACGATATAGAAAATGATGACGGAAATTGTTCTTTCAGATATTCAATAGCAGCGGACTTCTTTTGTTGATTCATTAGTTCAAAGTTCTGGTTATCACACAACGATAATGGAGCTGCGGTAAATTCGTGCGCAAACAACGTAGGCAAATGTAAATGTCGATCTTTGGCGATGATTATCATTCGACGAATGTCTTCATCAACTTTTTTCAATGTTTTATTCAGATCCTTGCTGTTACTGGTTGTTGTCCGCCGCTTTTTAACAGTACTAAGATCTCCCGGTACATACGTATCTATATCACGCAATTCTAAACATAAAAATGAAAAGTGTTTCGTAATAGAGTTTCGTAATAGATTTATGATAACGTTTTTGTTACTTAATCGGAACATTGCTTTCAGTGGTTTATCAATTGCTACAGTTTGATTTACTAGCCGCTCGTCGATGTAAGCTGTAAGGGCTTGTACACCTTGTTCAAACGATGAGCAAATGTTGTTAATAATATCATTGTGAATAATCTTGCCTGATAATAATTTTCGACAGTTCAGACTGTCCGATACGAATAATTTCTCCTGTTTCAATTTTGAAATAATTATTGTCAAATCTTCGTCGTCCGCCGCCTGTCTTTGAGGTGTACATTCAGCATGAGAATCGATGCTGTTGTGCGATGTTTCTAACTGGCAAATTTCATGAGTGGCTGTTGTTAGTAAGGCACGAAAGGCGAATGAGTTGTTCCACGTGTCTATCAGATCTGGGTTGAATCGCCCCGAGATACCACCATGCCCCTTTCCAAATTTATTGATTGTACACTCAATGGTTTGATCTAGTGCGATACCTTGAAAACAAAAGCGAAGAATTGCAATTCCTGTCGCGAAGATCAGACACTTATGGGCATGAGTTTTTCCCGGACAATAGACAACTGACAGACGACTGTTGGTCGATATTTTATGGAAGTCCACACTTCTGGAATGGAAAACAACGAATTCATTTTCTATCGACCAACCGTACTATATCCGTAAAATATCGACTAACAGTCGTCTGTCAGTCGTCCATTGTCCGGGAAAAACTCATGGTCGACACTTACATGAAAATGGTCTATGTGTTCGATTAACAGCGAATGCATTAGACAATCGTTGCAATAGGTACGATGTACTTGAACGTAAATCCATGAGATGTTGGGCACAAAGACGAGCATAATTTCGGTGATTGTTGGAAAAGAATAACGGTGCAATTCTTGACAATGATGCATTTCTTGCGTCGAAATTGGATGTTCGTATCGACATGTATAACGTAATCAACGGTTGTAATAAATGATATAACACGAAGCACCAAAAGTTGAATGACACACTTTGTTGACCGTCCACCCATGCAGTAAATGCACTGGACAATTTTACCACGTCTATGTCATTCAACAGACTTCTGAACCATTCTTTTTTCAAATAGTCTTTAGCATAATCGGATGGTATTTTGGAAATTGTTACTTTCAGTTTCTCAGTAAGATCAGACGATGTTATTATGGTTGTTGTTAAAAATGAATCAATCAAAAGAATTGACAACGCTGTGTATAATAATTTGCAGCATCTTAAGGATTTGTTAAAATGATGCACGTTAAAAATGGATCGTAGCGACGCTCCCTTGTAAAGACATCCCAAGACAT